AGGCGGGCTGCAGGGCCCCGGGGCGCGCGTCGGCGCGGCGGAACTTGGGTGCGAAGCCGAGCGCCTCGCCGCCCGGCCCTCCGCCGCCGCCGCCGCCGCCGGCGCACGACACGTACTCCAGGTAGGAGCTCATGGCTCGGTCCCCCCCGGCGCCCGCGCCCCGCCGGTCCGCGCGGCTCCGCCTCCCCGCTACCCCCGCTGCCCCCGCCGGGCCATGGCGAGCCAGCCCGGGGTAGATAGTGGCCTCATATACCGGCGGCGGCGGCCACGTGGCGCCGGCCGGCCAATCGGCGCCTTCCCCGCACTGGCCCGGGCCCGGCTGGAGTGCGGTTCCTCGCGCCTGCCCCGCAGCCAACTTCGCCCCGGCTGCCGGGGGCCTCCGCCCAGCCCCGGGGAGAGCGGAGGCGCCGGCCTGGGAAGGGCGGGGCGAGGGCCTGGACCCCAGCTCCCCGGACAGGTATTGCTGGAGAAACGCAGAGGAGGGTGAGGGGTGCGGCGGTCAGGACCGGTCCCTCTCTGAAGCCCCCCGGGGACTGGCCGGGAGGATTGGAAGAGGCTGGGTGGGAAGATTGCCTTTGCCCTGCGGGGACTCCACCTTCTCGAAGGTCAAGTTACTCTGGCCCCCTATTCCTAGGTGCCCTGGGGTTTCTTGGCCAAGGAGTCACTTTTGTCCTAAAGATGTCACCTCTTCTCTCTTTTCTGCCTCAAGGACGACACCTGGGACCCTGTAGGCCAGGGATGAAATCATTTTCACTAGCTTTTCTTTGCCCCATCCCTCATGGCATTCATTCCCTTCAGTGAGGACAGATGTTTGTGGCGTCAGTGCTGATTGGGCAGAAAATAAGTGTCTGTCTCGTGGGGAAGATGCTGGACTTTCCCCTCTGACGAGGTCATCAGAATAAAGAATCCGGGCGGAAAGGCCCTTGTGCACTATCTGGGAGGCTGGCACGGGCGCTGCGCACGCTTTCAGAGAGACTCTTGGCTGGAGGAGGGAGCAAAGGCATCTTGGGGACTGGTCAGATCTCAGAGGCTTGGACTGGCGTGTACCTTAAAGCAATTAAAGCTCTGCTCCATCAGATAAGTGCTGCGTCGTCTCTTGCGAGTGAAATCTGAGGGCTCGCGATGTTAATGGGCCCACTTCTTTCCCTTGATAATATGGTTTTGTTTACTGAGTGTAGAGAGACGGGAAATAAAAGTGCAATTGGCACAGGAAGTGAAGACTAGAAGGGTTATACAGACAGGCTTTACATCGACAAACTTTCCAACTTCCTTAAGCATTTCTCTTCAGGGCAGTTTTCCTCTTTAGGGCAGTGGGAAAATACTAAGTTAAATAAACACAGGTTATTTACACACAGCTATAAGTCAATGAAGGTGGTTTCCCAAAAGCCTGTGTGGCGAAGACCCTAAAGGGTCTGCTCTTAGTTTATTCGAGTGCCCTTGAAAACCTAAGCCGTTACAGTCTCTAAGTTAGAGTGAGTAACCAGTTGTCTTTGAAGGAGTGATTGAGACCTTGCCTAAAATTCCACTCTCAGGCATCCCGGTCCAGGGAATGAGTCCATTTCAGGCCTGTGGACTTGTGAGAAAACAAAGCTACACCCAAAGTATATTGTGCTGGCGAGGCTGAGCTGGTGATGACAAAGGACCTGGAATTAGGAGGGGAAAAGGTGTCAGGTGCCTGAGCATAAAGCTACAAGGGGCATGGGGTCTTGGAATTGAATGGAAAGTAGAATCCCACTCTTTAAAAAATGCCTCCCACCTAAAACTATACATTATTTACTTACCCTGAAGCAAATTTTGAGAGATTTTTTTTTGTCTTTGCTTGAAGCAGAAAGTATTCTAAACTTAAATGAAGTAAATGTTGTTTTGTTTTGTTTTGTTTTCACAGTTGTATCGAGAGTGAACATCAGAAGTGAGGGGTTGGAGTAGGGTTCCATATTTATCCAGTCCCAACTGTAGTTCCCAGATGAAGCCAACAGAGAGCTAAGGTCTGTTTACCATTCGCTCCTCCTTTGAGTCCTCAGGGTACCCTGTGCTCCTAGCTCAGACTGCTGTCTTCCCTCAAGAGCTGGTTCTTGGGTTTTGGTGTTGATGTGCTAGACATCCACCCTGGGCCTGGCCGTGCTAAGCAAGCACTCTCCCGCTGAGCTTCATGCTCAGCCCTTGAGCTGGCTTACTCAATGTCTGTTGGAAGCCAAGCCTAGCCATTTTATGCCCAAATTCAGCAGATGTTTGCCATCTGCACTAGGTAAGGACATTTGATTATGCCTAGAAAAAGATATTCTCAAACCAAAGGAACAAGATTCATTCTGCCCTCATTTGCTCTATTTTAAGTCTACTAGATCTCTCTGTCCTCTCTCTCTCTCTCTCTCTCTCTCTTTATCTCTCTCTCTCTCTCTCTCTCTCTCTCACACACACACACACACACACACAATCACACACTCAAACCTCACACAGGTTAGGTAAGTGCTCGGCCACTGTATTCCCAGCTCATACTCCAGAATAATCTTAGTCTATAATTATCTGAAGAGAGAGTGGAAGATATTTTTGGGGGGAATGTGCATGAAAATATGGATAGAGGATATTTCAAGTGACTATCCAGTTTGTCTCCAGTGTCCATAGAGTATGGGGGAAATGTCTTACAAATTTTAGTAATTGTTCACATCATGAATCCCTAAAGGCCTCCTGTCCCTCTGAGTCTTGGTGCTGTGGGTTCTCCATGGGAGGTTACAGCAGAGAGGCCTGATTACCGGGTGTGTTTGATGTAGGAATGCTTTGAAATAGCCCGTCTGCTCACCACAGCAGCCATCCACATTCCCACCCTCCCCCACTACCTTTCTCTCCTCTTCCAATAGCATGCTTCTTTTCTGGTAGAAGCAGTGGCTCCTGGTGGCCTTGGCTTCTGTGTGTTTAAAGTTGATCCTAAGAAACAGCAGAGCATCCTCCACAAACTCTGCCGTGCTAACCCTTGGAGATCCTTAAGAGCAAACTCTTGACTCCACAGATCAGAAGCAGAACTGGTGATTTCTTACCTATGGGACTAAATTAAGGGAGTCAAGATATTTTCTCTTCTCACCAGACTAAGAGAAAATAGATTAGGACACAGTTCTCTCAAGTATCTTCAACCATCAAAGGATAGAGGTTGGATGAAGAGGTCCTAAATACGGGAATTCCAGACTTATTAGCAATCTGATAACCGGATCCTCGCTAAGGAAACAGTTGAACATTGTGTCTTTCCCTTAAAAAAAAATTTAACCCAAACAGGTCTAGCTCAGGAATCCTTTTTTGTTGTTGTTGTTTGTTTGTTTGTTTTTTCAAGACAGCGATTTCCTGTTTTAGTTCTGGCTGTCCTGCAGTTCACTCTGCAGACCAGGTTGGCCTCAAAGATCCACCTGCCTCTGCCTCTGCCTCCCAAGTGCTGGCATTAAAGTCATGGTGTCACCACTGCCTGGCTTAAAATGAAAAGTAAGTGTGTTTTGTTTTTGTCTTTTTTAAAGATTTATTTATTTATTATGTATACAGTGTTCTGTCTGCATGTATGCCTGCAAGCCAGAAGAGGACATCAGGTTTCATAATAGATGGTTCTGGGCCACTGTGTGGTTGCTGGGAATTGAACTCAGGACCTTTGGAAGAGCAGACAGTGCTCTTAACCTCTGAGCCACTCTCTAGCGCCCACCCCTTAAGATTTATTTCTTTCTGTGTGCATTGGTGTTCTGCCTGCATGTCTGTGTAAGGGTGTTGGGTCCCCTGAAAGTGTAGTTACAGGCTGTTGTGAGCTGCCATGTGGATGCTAAGAATTGAACCCAGGTCCTCTGGAGGAACAGTCATTGCTCTTAACTGCTGAGACAGCGCTCCAACAGGAATCTTTAATTTTAACAAGCTTCTTGGGTGATCGTATTGCGGATACTCAAAACTACACTTTGAAAATTTCTACAGTGGAAGTTGAGGTTGGGGGAACAGAACTGAAAGGAAATGAGCAGAGTGAAGGAGCGGTGTCACCGGGCTAGCAACACATGAGTGTCCCCACCAGTGTCTGCAAGCTTGCTGAGCAGCAGTGTAGACAAATCAATGTCAAGGGTCAAGCTTAAGTCTAAACGGTCTACAGCTCCAGAAAACATCTTGCAGACATGGTCAGTTGTGGCTGGAGAGCTCAGAGGTTGACAAGGCTGCTGCTCTTGTAGACCTGAGGTCAGCAACCAACCCTCACACTGGACAGCTGGCAATGGAGCCTCCAGCTCCAGAGGATCTAATTCCTTTTCCTGGCTTCCTTGGGCACCCACACACATGTGTGTTTATGTGTACACACACACACATATACACACATCAATAATAAATTAATAAATAAATAAACCTTGAGGAAGTGGTCAGCAGGAAATTCACGAGTTTTTCTAGCCAGTTAGTGTTTTCTGATGCTGGCCATATTCTGCCAGTCATTCCCGTAGCTCACCTTGAATGGGTAGGAAGTGAAATTTGTCGCGTCTGTTCCTTGGAGAAATCCAGGAGTGCTTCTGAAGCAATGCTGTAAGCAGAGGAATAAGGATGGGTCCTTTAACTCTCATTTCCTTCTGTCTCCCAAATTATCTGGAAGAAGCACTTGGGCCTCAGAGATTCCCCAAAGGGTGAAATGTATCTTGGCCTAACTTCCTCTTTCTAAAGGCTGATCTTCCACAGTGTAAGATGGCAAACCTAAAAGACACCTTAGACATGACTGGTTCAAACTCTTGGTTTTAGGGAGAAAGTTGCTCTACTCAGGAGTTGAAAGAAAATGCCATCCTACCAAAAATGATGGAGCTTGGGCTTTCCAGTCCAGGGTCTTCCTACAGTCTGGACAAAGGAAGAGCTAAGGCAGCCCCCTTAGCTCTGGCACAATGGCACTGTCAATCTGTGGGCATTGGTGTTCTGCAGGCAGAACAGTGTTGAAGGAGGTGCCCCAGTTTCTGGGAGAGCATCTCCCAGACATGTTTGCTAAACCTGTGCATTAGACTTGTGTAGCTCCATCCTGAGTCTCCAACATGAGTAGGCAAAGATGAAGCTGCAAGGGTACAGGATCTCCATGTTTCCAGCGAGGCTGATTATCATCAGAACCCTCGCAGGACCACAAGAGATGACCCTAAGTTGATTTCATTGGGTAGAGCA